AGCATTCACTTATTCCAGTTGTCTTCGAGTACATGAAAGAATTCATACTGGAGAGAAACCCTATGAATGTAAAAAATGCAGTAAAGCATTCACTTCTTGCCGTTCTCTTCAAGCTCATGAAAGGACTCATACTGGAGAGAAACCATAAGTATGTAAAAAATGCAGTAAAGCATTCACTTCTTCCAGTTCTCTTCGAGTACATAAAAGAATTCATACTGGAGAGAAACGCTATGAATGTAAAAAATGCAGTAAAGCATTCACTTCTCTTGGATCGCTTCGAGAACATGAAGGAAGTCACAGCGGAGAGAAAGCCTATGAATGTCAGGAAAGTGGTTAATCCTTTATTTGTGATACAAACTTTTGAGAATATGCAAGAATGCACACTAGAGTTAAAACCATGTAAAGGTAAAGAATATGGGAAAGCTTTTGTCATCCCATTTCTTTCTGAAGGCATGAAAGGACTCACTTGATAAAAACCCTTTGACTGTAAATAGCATGGGAAAGACTTCATTGGCCTACATCCTTCCATGTGAAACTCCCAACCAGAAAGAAATAGAAATAAAATGTAAGTAATATGGGAAACTTGATGGACCTTAATTTGTGTATAATGTTCTAGAAAACTTTCAACATGAAAGAGTTGTTATAAAAGTTGTAAATATATTGTGTTTACCAAGCCACTTCAGGTGCAACATTGCACTGTGGGTTTCTGTTAATGACTTTCAGAAATGAATATTGAGGTGAGATAATTCTGAGTCATCCTTCATCAATACTACTTCAAGATTATTAGGTGGTGCTTTTTTCTTAAATCAGTTAATAATATTTTCTCTTGGGGCCGGCCCAGTGGTACAGTGGTTAAGTTCACATGTTCTGCTTCAGCGGCCTGGGGTTCACCAGTTCGGATCCCTGGTGCAGGCCTACTCATGGCTCATCAAGCCATGCTGATGTGGCGTCCCATGTAGAAGAGGTACCGCCCTACAAAAGGATACACAACTGTGTACCGGGGGTGGGGGAGAAAATGAAAAAAAAAGAGGAATATTGGCAACAGATGTTAGCACAGGGCCAATCTTCCTCAAAGTAAAATAATATTTTTTCTGTGTTTTTTAATAATGTTTTAATTGTTCTTTCTTAAAAGGCCATTGAGAAATGACAGTTGGTAGTTGTTGGAATTTTCTTCCTCGCCATGTACTGCAGTTCCCAGATTTGCCTTATCCACTGTGCAGTTTGTACCTCTCTTAGCGAAAGCTCCTTTTTGGGGGTGGTGGGTATAGGAGCCTGTTTTTATTTTCCACCCTATAGAACAGTTGGAATAAAGTTTTATGAATGGCAAGTTTGTCAAAGGATATACCTTCCTGTGAATTTCTTTTCACATTTGGGCCTTTGCTCTTTGTGCTTCCTTCTGACTGATATTTGGTGAACAGACTTTGAGTTAAGTAGAGGCCTGTGATAGGGCAACAAATTCTATAATACCTGTATTGGGTTATGTCAGTTTGGGTAATAATTAAGAACTGGATCTTTAAGAATCCCCTCCCCTTTGTACTTCCATGTTGGAATTCACCAGTAGTGTCACTTGCATGAGATTAGGAAGGCAGAAGCAAACAAGGCATTGGTGAGATTTTGGAGCCACAGTACAAGGAGAGAGACTGTTACATGGGAGCTTCAAGGACACCATCCTCAATCCCATGTTCTGGATTCTTTGCTCTTCTAGGCAAGAGTATCTTGAAAAGCACCACCAACTGGGCTTCCATTTTCTTAGAGTTGTATTTTTTCAATTATATTTTCACAAGTTTCACATCAAAGACCCATTAGAGTTAGGATTTTTCTGTAAGGCCTCTTGTGTCCATCAGGAAACTAATTCAGACTTTTGTTGTTGGGGTATTCGCTGATTCTCCTCTTCTCTCGGTGACAGCTGTATAAGGTCTAATGTGTATAGGAAACACCTTATGCTGTTAATAGTGCTAGTGAGCATGTTTCCTGATTCACTGTGACATCTGCAGTGGGGCATAAACAGAAGGACATGGGAGTTTGTTTCTCTGCTGCATTCTGCAGTGGCTGCCTTGACCCAATTCTTCCGTGTGAGAACAATCCCCTTTCTCATGTCAGGAAGATAGTGTGTTTTCTGTTACTGGTAGCTGAGTGTATTCCCTCAATAGGTTTTCAATAATGTTTGATTGTATGTCATTAAAACTGTGTGTGTTTCCTTGTGAAATGAACACTTCTGTAGTTGTTTCCTTGATATATTTTATCAACTGTTCTAATCCAGCATATGCTAATAAATACTATTGTGGTTTTATTTCCTCAGAATATATTAAAAATCATTTTAATTATGGATTTTCAGATATACTTTGCAATTTTCTTCATTTAATCATTATACATTATGAGTCACCTTTGCCTTGTGCATACAAATTCAGGTATTTTTTCCTTAGGCCAACTTTAATTTTTATTCTTTTATAGTTACTATTTTTGTCGTGAAACTAATTTCCAATTCATTCTTAATGCAAAATGTAAAAATCATGTTTTTTAATGGCCCTCTTGCCAGTTACCTGCAAGACTGCAGCTGCGGTCAAAGAGAGGGGTGCAGTAAATTCTAAGATTGACCACAGACCATAAAGGACTGTGAGGTGTAACAGTGACAGGGTGCTCAGAAATCCTCCTTACAAGACTTTGGCATGTGGTTGTGGATTTGATTGCTATTCAAGGAGGAAGGTTGTTTTCTCTATTGGATGCTGTGAGGAGGTAAACATAATTCTATCTTTGGAAGCGTTTTGTCCTTGATAAATATAATCATTCTTTTCTAGAAGGTAAAACATTGCAGTGGAGCAAAAGTTATTTTCTAAGAAGTGCCAGTCAGTCTTTTAGGTGAGAAGAAGGAAACTTAGTCATATTTATGATTTACAATTTTATCTTTTACTGTTTGTACTGGTATGTTACAGAATATTTTTAGTATTGTCCTGGTGACTGTACCTTTGATGAGGGAGGTGTGTGAGATTTTTCT